CTTTGCACTTTAAAAGAGAGTGGTTAACAAAAAATTGGCAACAAATTTAATGTTAAATAACATTTTTTAATGGTTAAAAAAATTGTTTTAGTAATTCAAAGTTCTTTAAAAAGTTTTTTGTAAGTAAGGGATTATTTTGTTGGGGCTATATGAGTATATATATTATATTTAGGTATTTATCTAAGTGTTTTTAAATTGAAACACATAAAATAAACGCAAACTTTAAAAAACAGCCCAATTTCTTTGGGTGCATATGGGCAATATCGTTGCTCAAAACTTGAAATAGCACTGAATTCAACAGCAATGCAATTGTATTCTTCTCGCACCACTTGAACAGGTCATAACGGCAAGTGACTCGGCACCGAGGGCGCTGAAGGATCTGCGCAACCGATGCTTGAATCCCGGCAAGTACGCCCAGCACTTGGAGCACTGGCTGGCCTACTATCCCGCCCAGCAGTTGCACATCATCGACGGCGAGCAGTTGCGCCTGAATCCCATCGATGTGATGAACGAGCTGCAGCGCTTCCTGAAAATCCAGCCGCTGCTCGATTATTCAAATCACCTGCGATACGACGTGAAGAAGGGCTTCTACTGCCAGGCCGTCAGCGAGAAGCGCAATAAATGCCTGGGAAAGTCCAAGGGCCGTCAGTATCCGACGATGGATGAGCGCAGTGCCAAGCTGTTGCAGCGGTGAGTAAAATCGAAATTCGGCCCGAAAAAGGGTGTGTGGGACACTGGGACCAAACCAAATCCGGAAAGGTGGCAAAATCATGAAAAGTTCGAGCCATCAGTCGTGTGGGCGGGGTGCGGGTGAGTGAGTGATTTGGGGCAGACAGGACGAGAAAGGAGCAGCTGCTTTGAGTGAAGGATTAATGAACATACATATGTGGGCATGGGTGTGGGGACAAAACTCTTCGCTTTTCTGTTTTCTCCTTATTTTTTTTTTTGTCCGTGTAAAGGGTATGTGCCACTTTGCGGCCGCTAAAAGTGCACTTTGCTGTACTGCGATTTCGTTGGTATGCCAGCTGTTGTCAGTTGACAAGGGAAACGATTTGCTGCCGGAATTTTTCTAGGCCAACAACCACACACGGAAAATAAACGGAAACGGAGATGGAGATGGAGATGGACAGATGGACTACTTTGTGAGGCATTCAACTGGAGTAAATGGGAAATATATCAGGGGAGTTGGCCAAATAAAAGTGCCTGTAAGCTGGCGAAATTTGTTTCCTGGCAAGATTTCATGATGATGCCCCGAGTATATGTCAGGATGTGGGCTTAGTAGACTGGCAGTTGTGAAGTGGGAAGTTTATTATGGATATTAAGCATTGAGATGGGAGGCATTTCCTTAAAATGAACTGTATTTTTAATATATATATAAAGGTTATCAGTTTTTTTTTTAATAGAAAGCTATACATTTTTTCAGAAATCAGTATTTATAAGAATATATTTCTGGAAAGCAGGAACTTGTAATTGGAGTTTTAATTTTAACCCCCAGAGAGAAAACATGACAAATCCAAATATTTTCACTTTGAAATAAATATTTTCGGTACTGACTTAGCCCGAAAAGTGTTTTGATTAAATCCAAATGAGTTATACAGTAATTTTTATTTTTGAATTATGGAAAATTTTGATTTAAAATGAAAACAAATTTTGAATTCTAATATATTCCTATTGGAAACACCAATTAAATAATGTTTTTAGTTTATTTTAGATTAGTTTAGTTTATATTTTGAAAAACAATGTTACGTTCAAACATTTTTATGTTTAATATTACTATGCCGTTTTTCTCTGGGTGAAGCATCAATACCAACAATTTTAAATAAAATGGTGATGTACATAGTATTTAAACATGCATGTATTAAATGATCAGCTTGAAAGCTTAGCTTTCTTAGTTTTATCACAAGACGACATCGCCAACTTGTCGAAATCCTTGCGCATAAAATCTGCTTTTGAACTCTGAGCGAAAGAAATGGTTCATAAAAAAATAGATAGAAAACTAAAATAAAACATTCAAAAACTTAGCTAGCAAAGAGGGGCTGCAAAGATAACTCACTGTCTGTCGATCTGCATATTTGTTTTATTTGAGGCGGGAACGGAGCGATTTGAAATTCTAATTGCGCAAAGACTTATACTGCGTTCTTCACACAATTCTGATGGAATATCTCTCTGTTTTTTTGTTCGCTTTCAGATACTATCTGAATCACAATACGGCGCTGGTGAAGTTGCTCAAAAAGCTCGGCTCGAGGCCAATACCGCAGTGGCTCAAAGACGACCTGTCCACGGGCACGTGATAGCAGCTGTTCGGAGGAGGAGCTGGTGGCGGTGACGGTGGCATAGGAGGCATTAAGTATCGCAAATTGCGGGCAAAACTCAGGAAGCAGTTGCATTGGCTGCATTTGGCGGCCGAAAATGCAGAAAGCGTACAGAGGAGGCGACGTCACAACTGACGGGATGAAAATGAAGCGGAAATTCAATGGAAAAACTACCAGACCTAATCTAATTTTCACTTTCGGCAAATTTTTGCAAATGCTAACTTTAAATAAGCCAAATGTTTGATATTAATATGGCATAAACTGCTTTAACAAATCATTGAATAAATAAGCCCGTTTTGTTTGATGTTTAAATTCATTGAAATATGTTTAGAAGTAAAAATAATTTATAGTTTAAGCAAATGAAGTTTCGATTTTTTACGAAAAAGGCGAATTTTACTTAAACTTTTATATTTTTTATTTAAAACAAGTTTCCTAATCCCTATTTTTATCAAGTACATTAAGTTAAAAAAAAAAATTTGTTGAAGTGCAGTTTTGCAAAAACTTTTGCCGAAAGTGGAAAACAGAAACAGCTTAAAAACAGCTGCTGTAGAAAAAAGATAAATTAAGAAGGAAAAAGTATCATAATTAGTCGCTTTTAACATGCATAAATCTTTTTTTTGTTTGTTGCTATTGCAGCTAATTAATGTCACTGCAGTTGTCAGCTGAAGTTGTACAGTGTGTGAGTGCGTATCTGTGTGTTTGTCAGCGAACGTTGTGTAAATAGGCGTGTGTGTGGATGCTTGCGCATTATAAATTATCATAAATAATATCATGAGGCATCATGAATAAATGCATAAATGCGCTTTGTTAGTTGTTTAATGTTTATTAGTTGATAATGGCGAATTAAGCGCCTAATTAAGTTTACGCATAATCCAGCACTTTCGTTATTACCTCAGACACCGATTCAGCTCTCCGCATCCTAAAGACTCGATCAAATAACTTTTGACAACTCTAAACACACATAACTACCACATACTATCCACATGGCAGCTGCAAAAACTCCTGTGTACTTTAAGCATTTTAAATCCATGCCAAAACTGTATGTTCGTTCCAGCAGTTAACGAGTGCTATATATATAAAAAAAGAAACACACATTTCGGAATAGTACGTTAAGCATAAGGCTGCCTCTATATCCCCTAAGTGTATTATAGATGTTTTTAGCCTAAGCCTAGTGAGTAGACCTAAAATGCGCTTGTCACAGGCCTCGATGTAAAACTGTAAAACTCTAGTTGTATTTTTAACGCAGCACTAAGCAAAGCTCTATTGTATAGTTGGATATATGCGTAAATGTATGAGAACTAGTTCAAGTTTAGATTCGTAATGCGACAATAATAAAAGCGAAAATTATTGCAAGTGTAAAATGGAATTCATGTTGGTTTTTTCTTGTTTTCTTGGGACTATCGGTCTGAACAAAAACAATTTTAAGAAGTTGAATAGAATACTTTTTAATACCGTAAGCAAATTTATAACCTTTCAATAAATTTTGTTGGAGAACATTTCACAAAATGTAGTAATTAGAGATTTCCATATACATTTTTCAAAATGTTTATAAAGCTTTCAAAATTGATTAACACGACAAGTACAGGAAATTTTGAATTGGATTTACAATTTTTTAAATTAAATTGTTACAAAATCTAATTTTGTAAATTCATAGGTTAGAAAAGAATTACAGATTTTTGGTCCACTGTGCAGCGTAGAACAAAAGCGAGGTCACCATGATCTAAATCAAGGACACCAAAGTTTCTGTAGCGGACTAATAGCCGAGACATCTTCCAAAGCAGTGCACTAAAAGCGGAGACACAGGGTTCAACTGTGTCGCAAGACAATAGGCTGGTCGATGGAAACTATCGATTATTTAGATGTGAACTAATCACTTTGAACGTTTTCGAATTTGAATTTCTTATTTGACAAATTTAATAACTGCTTTAGTGAGCCGTCTTTATTCTCATTAACCCCTGGTCCATTACCAACAAACAATTAAAATTGAAGAAAATACGAAAGTTTTAAGATATTATAGCCTGATTTCGAATGTTTAACTTATATAATTTTGTACTCCAATAAAGCTAATATTTATTAATGTTTATTCACTTTGCACACATAATTAGAATAAATTGATTAAAGAAAAACTGCAAGTGAGTTACACAAAATAAACAAATAAAAAAAACAAAATAACAACATATACATTTTAATTAGATTTTTAAATTTCCCGCAACCAGTTTAAATATATCCGAGCTTGCCGTATCGTTAAAAAATATTCCAGGGACTCCCAAGTAGCGGCTATGCGGTTAGCACAGACATAAACCTTTTGATGGTATATTTTGCTAGTATTGTTTTGTTGTTGTTGTGTGTCAAGAAGTATTATTTAGTTCTATTTATGATCCAGGTGGTATATTATAACGGCGTTAGTTCATTTTTGTCGTTCGTTCGTGTCGGTTGGGTGTCAATGTTTTTTAATTTTATTGCTAACTTTAAATATTAAAGTTCAAATTCTCGATATTTGAAATATATTTATAAAAAATATATAAATTTATTAAAGAAAAATAACGGTATATATAATTGGCGCGTCGAATTTAACCGCTATTTATATATATTTAATATTTAACTAGATAGCTATAGCGCGATAAAAATAGCACGTGCTAACAGGTACTCGGAGAGTAGCAACAAAAAAATAATAATAAAATCGCGTGTTCGTATAGCCGGCTTAAAATACAAAAATTGTTGGGGGCGAAGAGAGTGCGAAGAGAAAAAGAGAGAGAGCGCCAGCCAAAGGCATAGTAAAAACGCCGCCCGGCCAATTAAAAATTGCCAGAATATATATCTTTCCATATATAATTCTATACCTAGTGCTAATCGTCGGGTTTTGTGCCCCATGTGCCGCGTATGAAAAGTTAAAGAAAAGTCGCTGGTAAAACCGGTAATTCCCTCTCCCCCACCTCTCCAAATTTCTCCCATTCTCCTTTTTGGCGCCCGTTCTTTGTTGTTTTTATTGTTACGTGGGGCTTGTTGCATTTTTCGTTTGACAACACACTTTTGTTTAAGCAATCAAAAATCATCATAAATAATATCAAAATGTTTAGTGAAAAAAAATTGGTCTATTTTGATTATTTGTTGTGAGCGCTTTTTATTCGGGCTTATCAATTTGGGAAGGTTTTAGCGGTGCCTTTTGGAATCCTCCAGAATGAAAAAGGCATCGCTAAAGTTTCCGCTGCGAATAAAAAAATCTCCGTTCGTCATATCATTTCTAAAGTTGATTTTGAGTGAAAGGTCGTGAAAAGCCTCCTGGGCTTATATATTATTTATATTTTTTTTTACAACAAAAGCCACAAGTCGAGATCCAATAAGTTTCAACATTACTCATTATTTACCCCTTATAACCGGTGTTTTCTGTGATTCACAACCTTCGAAAAGAATAAAGAAGAGTATTCGGTGTGCTGTAGTGTCCAGCTGTAGAACCAGTTCCAGTTAACCAGGAGAATCATGTCCAGAAATAGGGCTGCCATGGTCAGCGCCTTCCGCCTCTTCCTGCGTCCCTCGACCACCCATCGAAGTCTCGCCCTTCGCTTGGCCCCCGTCACGACCTTTGCCCTGGTGAGTACTAAACATGTACACAAAGTAGCTATATATATATATAGTTTAGGATACTTTCGGATACTATCTGGGGAAGTCGCGCTCCAGGGGAGCAGCTGTCGCCGCCGTATCGGATCTATAAAAATACACGCACTTGTTTTACGTCTGAGTAACGCGGGCTAACAGCAGCGGATACAGTAATAGTTCTACGAAAGTGAATCATACGCGTAAACTACAGAATAGTTTAAAATCCGTGTTTTTTTTTGTTATAATAACACCATCTTATCTAAAATTATGTTATAAATTAAAGCTATATAGTATTTAAATATGAATATATTTAACTGAGATACAATATTTTTTGAATTCATGAAACGTGAATCCTTAAAACTTACGGTCTTTCTCGAATAAATTATATCCAAAGATTACAAAAGAAAAAGAGTGTTTTTTTTTAAGAGCAATATATTTATTTGAAAGTTTTAAATGATTTTTAACGTAATAAAAAAACGTTAAAAATAAATTTTTTGTTCATATTAATTATAGGGCTAAAATTACCTTTTCTAAATATAAAATAAAATTTGATTTTTCTTGGCCTGCTAAAAAACTTCATAGCAGAATTCTTTAAATTATAAAAATGCTATTTTGCTGACTACAACCGTCTGAACACATAAGCAATTTAGAAAATTCACATGGATACTTTTATAGAATCACCCAACATGCGTGCCTTGTCCATTTTCTTATGTATTGGCACATTTTGTGTTTCAAAATTATTAAAATTTATGCAAAGAACCAGTCTGAAAAAAACAACAAAGGCTAACATATCTAGATGACATACATATGACTCTCATCCAAGCTCTTTCTCTCTCCTCATTTTGGCGGTGCAAACTTCATTTGGAGTTTTACTCTCTCCCTCGTTTACTCTCCCACGCTCTTTCTTTTTCTCTCTCCCGGCGAATAAGTTACAAGCTCTATTTTTTGTTGTTGTTGCACCTGCGCGAAAAAGGCCAAAGCAATAACAACAAAAACAGCTGTCAGAATTGTTTATTATCACATGACATGAAAGATGGGAGGGACGGAAGAGGAAGAGGGGATGGGCGTTGATAGATGAGTGATTGTAGTAATTTTATTAGAGAGAGAAGTTTGGAAGAATTAGCACTCGCTATGGCATCCCAATACCTATAAAACTGTAGGTCATTGATTTAATTAATTTGAGTGAAATGAGTCACTTTAATGAGGCTGCGACTGATTTTTATTGTCAAACAATTTAAACATTGCTGCTTATCAGTTCACATTTCAAACTAAGCTAAGTGAGTCAGCGAAAGCAGCTGAGATGAAAGCACATTTAAAAGCACAGTAAACTTCCTATACGTATTTGATAGGCACTTAATATTATAAATATGATTGTTCAAAAGTTTAACGATAGTTTCAAATTGTTATATTGCAAACAAAAACAATTTTATAAACTTAGAAAAAATCTGAAATAAACAAAAATTTGTGGAAATTTGATTTTTTTATAATCTAAAATAGTAATATATTAAGACACGAAATATTTTTGATATTTATTTTTATTTATAATCACTTTTTTTTGTAAATATTTATAAAGGTATAGTTACATCAAAAATAAAATGTAACTTGACTATTGTTACATGAATTTTAAAATATTTGGTATGAACATTTTTTAATAAGATGAGTAGTAGATGAGTACCACGAAAGTATCAAAATAAAATATATGTTGTTTAAAAACAAGGCCTTAGATAACAGTTTTAGATATTTCGGTATAGAAATAAAACTAAATAGTAAAGGGGTTATATTATTTAGTATTAAATGATTTTTTTAAAAACTAAAAACCAAATTTTAAAAAAGGACATTTTTAAAAATTTAATTTCTATAATTATAATCAAAGTTCGTATTGCATACTTTTCACTGTACTTAAAATACTCATTCAGTCGGCGTGCTTTCTACTATTTCTTTTATGACAAATTTGCATACGAAATGATTAAATACGCCGTTATTTGCTCGGCTTCAGTGTCGGCGAGAGCGGGCGGCCTTAAAGCTTTTATTCTTTGCGAAGAGAGAGGGTCAAACAAAACAAGTGTTGGTGGGGAAAAAGGGAGTCTATTTTGTACTGGCAATATTTACTTTTTGCAGGTTGTTTGCTCGACTTTTTGTACGTACGAGTGTCAGTCTCAATTTGCATTAGTTTTTTTTTTGCGCTCCGTGTAAGCTGATTAAAGCAAACAGAGAAGGCAAGTGAACAGATAAGGGCGACAACTTTGATTGTCAAAAGTTTAGGAAAGTTCTTGACCCGGATTCGGGATCCTGGGATCTTAACATGTCATGGAGTCACCATATCACGCTCCAATTTTTTCACAGTACTTTAAATCAATGGGCGTACGAAAAAAATAAATAAAGTCCAGGGGATTTGTTCCATTTTTGGGGGACCTCTCTCCATTTTCTTTTTTTTTTGTTTTCGTAGGGTACAAAAACTTTTATTGGCGCCATTTGGTCTGCCGCACAATACACACTTACTCACACGCACACAAACAGACACAGGACGTGTGTTGTTACATCTGCCCTTTCTTTTTTCTCCCCCTCCAGCTGTCTCTCTCCGACATTTCCTTTTCAATGGGATTTTTGGCTTGCCCTCGAATTTTGGCTTTTTTGCATTGTGTTTCCATTTGTTTTGCTATATTCCTGTTTCCTGGGGCGTGGCACACACACAAATATATGTTTGTGCAGAACAGTGACAGTTGGAATAATAGTAAGCTCTACTATTGTTCCTGAAAAATTCGGAGAATATAATTCAAAACAATTTATTTTGCAATTATTTTTTCCTTTCAAAAGTTTCCTCACAAATTGTTTGGTTTCAAAGTTTTAAATAACAAGAATAGTTTTGCTCGAATTATAATAATTTAAACTTTGGATGCAACATGCAAATTTTAATTAAATATTCCCTGTTTCAACTGCCAACATAAATACAAGGAATAGAGTTCCTATTTTAAGTTTAAAAGATTTGAGTGAATAAAATATTTTACTTCAAGAAAATTGTAGAAAAAAAACAAAATTATTTTAAGTTTTACCTAGTAGTAGTATTAATAAATGTCTTAAAGAAATACTGTAAAATAAATATTTCTGTTTCTGATATATTTACCCATTCCCCGTAATGGTCTATACACTACTACATTCGTTTTAAGCTACTCACCTTACAGATATTCAAACCTTAATTTTTTAACCGCAATTGTATGTAAACAGAAAATTTCTCACCCGGTAAACAATTGTTTCTGTACGGACGTAAAGGGGGCGATGGTCGATCAATTGATATTTGATTAAATACACGAGCGCCATGATTCAGGCTTTGGGACCGGCTTTATTTGTGCATCTCTGCCTGGCAGTGTGCAAATGAACACAGACATGCATGCCTAAAGCCCGATGGTCCGGCAAACGAAAACAACGCCGTATTTATGCAAATGGAATTTATCATATCCAAAGCTAACCTATGCAGGTTGCACATAATGCGGCCAAAGGTCAGCAGCTTAAAGCCAGGGCTTATATTCGTTTGGCGTATGGTATATGGGACCATTTACCAAATCTTCTCATTAAATCAGGCTTAGTAAGTGACACTTAAAATTCACTTTTAAGCTGTATAAGTTTTTTCCAACTTTTCCTTTACACTTTTTTAGCTAGAGTCGGCTTTTGCAGGTTTTGCACTTAAAAAAAACCCATTACATTAACAAATTCACCTGCTTTGGAAAAAAAACCAAAATTCACAAACCTGAAATCATGTTGAAGTTCAACCATTTAAATTTAAAGTAAACGACCTTTAGTGCATTTAGGAATGCTTTTGTAAAACTGAGTTTAAGACAATTTAAAATGTTTGAAGATATTTTTAACTTACGAATTTAAGAAACTATAGTTATTTTTTTTACTCTGTGCTTCTCATAAATACTCATATGTTGTTCGTAATCTCTTTAGGACTTTCTCAACCTTATTCGAAACATATTCCTGCTAATTTACAGCAAAGTCAAAGTTCCACTAAGTTTTGGACAGACTGTTAGAGCCCAGTAAAGCACTCAACTTATCAGCACTTATTTCTTGACAAACGCTAATCTCCTTCTTAAATACTATCAAAAGTATTGTTTGATCAGCAAATAGTTGGGGCTCTTACCCTTAAGTCTCCAAATAACATTCAACTTAACCCGTATACAAACCGTCAATCCGCATAAAATCTGCATATAATATAAGCGGCTGTGAATTACACCCACTCACCCTCTATATTATCCCTTTCCCCAGGGCTTTTCGTTGGAAACTTGTGCACGTTTTCGCACATTTATCAGAGCTGAAAAATCTAAGCTTTAGCTATCATGGGAAACCGAAAAGCAAATTTCCCAACCAGACGTTGCAAAAATATTTGCATACATATATGCAAGTGGTAAAGATTGCGAGGACTCTCGAAGAAGAGGACGGGCGAGGATTATACGCGTAATTAAAGCTATCGTAAAATGGCGGAGCCGGGTGCTCTGCGGATTTCGCAAAATAGCAAGACCTCATTAGGGCTGTCACTGTCGCTTCATCAGCAGAACTTCAAGTTATGCCTCCGAAATTGACGGCATAACTTGGTCGTAATATTGTTCAACCGACAGACCGCTTACACTTTCAGAAAATAATTTAAAAGCATTTCTGTTCGTTTTACTATGTTAGAACAAGAAAATTGAACTCTCTCTTACACATGGATAAAGAATAATATTTTAATGGTTAACATTTTTAAAGGACTATTATAATTTCTTAATATCTTTTGTATGCTATTCGTTTTTATAAACTTAATTCATAGTTTTCAATTAAAATTATTAAAGAAAAGTTAAATTAGTAATAATTATACTATTTATAAGTCACTTATAATGGTTTTTACCAAGGTTGAGTAATTATTGTGGTTGATTTCACTTACTTCAGTTGCACCAAGCTCAACTATTTAATTTAAGTGGTTTTGTCATTTTCAAAATTGCACATTTTCACCAAGTATGTAATTG